AACCTGATTTTTTGTCATTCTAGACGATTCTTAAAAATCATTATATTTTGTTTTTTATCGAATAGAAATGTTAACAAACATCTTCTGGACAAGAAAGACGAAGTGGTATTAAAAACAGGCCAAAGTTATGTGAGTTTGTGCTTTCATCATCGGTTCTGTTACCATTTATAATTCATATTATAAAATAAAATGATTTAACTTAACGATTCATTTCCTTACGTCCACTATATATTATTTATACAATGAAACCCTTCTGTATCAACTATGATTTTTACACCTGTATATTGTTATAAATTTCGTATTATGAGATAACACGTAGGTTATTATTAATTCACTGGTTTAAGAAAAGAAGAACAAAACTTTTGTTTTTCCTCAGGATGAACCAGACGGTGAAAAATTGTCTGAAATAATTGAACATGAGAAGTATTTAACGACTGAGAAACTTCAAGAAACGATAGCGCCACCTACTTTGGGTAGTCGAAAATTTCTCAAAAAACAAGGCAGCGTAATGTCTGATTATATAAACGACAACGACTCATCAAAGTATGTTAATACTTTATTACTATATTATGAAGGAGGTGATAACGTACTTAATACACGTTGATAATTAAATCATTTTCAGAATTCGGGAAATTGGTATTAATATCTCAGATTTGTTAATTTGTTTCAACCACCGATTTTCATTGGAAAAACTTGTGATTCATAACAGTACAATATCTGAAGTATCCATTATATACAAAATAAGTATATAATCAGATGTATGGTGTAAACAAATGATCAAAGCACGCGAACTTGAATCCGTCTGACTCGATATGGAACACTTTTAATTTATCTTTTAACATGATAACTCTGAATAGTATAAAAAAATATTTACACAAATAAAATGCACAAACCTTTAAAAAAAACAAAGTGTTGGAAATCTTATTTCCTTAAAGTGCACAGGTGAATTATCCTATAAAGTATTATGCGATATTAAAAACAATTTGGTTTTGTGAGGTTATAAAACTAAATCAAAAAAAAATCTACTAAATTCTTAGGGCACAAAACAGCTTTCGTTAAATAAATTTAAGGGTACTTTAAGATAATGGTTGAATTGATCTAAGGGTAACAGATATCAAAAGGCATTTTTGTATTTCCTTAAAAATATACGTTTAATTTTTAATTTTAGCCCCAAGTGGCACAGCAGTATGTCTGCGGACTTACAACGCTAGAAACTGGGTTCCGATACCCGTGGTGGGCAGAGCACAGATAGCCCATTGTGTAGTTTTGTGCTTAACTATAAACAAACAAAACTTTTAATTTATTAAAATCTCATTTTCATTTTGCTTTAATACTTGTATTGATTTATATAAATCATAACTACAATTGCCCTTCAGTGGCTCAGCGGTAAGTTTGAAGGTTTATAACGAAATCCACAGTGGACACAGCACAAATAGCTTTGCGCTTAACAATAAACAAACAAAGAGAATAATTACTTTAGTGTTTACAATTTATGATATAAAGAGGCTTGTGATAACATAGGCCTGCGAATTTAAGCTTCATAAAAGTTGTTTTGGTTTTAATAACGGATTTTATATAATTCATCTACGCAGATTTTGAAAATAATATTAATTTTTTCTATCGCGTAAGGATTTTTTACAAATCAAGAAAACAAAACTGTTATTTAGATCAAATTATTATCTCGTTTACCACAATGAAAATGTTTTTATCATTATGTTTGTTAACAGAAATACAAACAAATTGATCAAAAGGAAAGAACACTGATGTCAATCGAATATGCATCCTCGTTCATCCTGATTTTTTACTTTTGTTGCATCTACGTCTTTTAGTTTCAAAACTACGTGTTGTGGTCTTTCTTTTATGTATTGCGTTATAACGTTTTGTGAAAAATCTGTACGTGATGGAGAAAAATTTATATCATTTTCGGATTCAGCGTACAGGAATTACTGTAAAACATGTGAAAATTTCAAGACAATAAAACCATCGCAGACCTGTGTTATTTGTTTGTACGTAACAGAAAATTTTCAAATTACCAAACTTCTATCAACATGTAACTCTTTGGGTGCTTAGGCATGACCGAGTAGGATTCTGAAACCCATTTATTATTTCATTTCCCATTTGTACGAGCTTTGATAGTAAGTACGATATTCCTCCTTTCTGTTACTGGCAAATGGCGCACAGGCACACTGTTCCGCCATCCCCGTGAAGGCAACGAAATTAGTGTCACGCGTGGTGCGGGTGCCTTTTCTAACTTATTTAAAACTGAAAGTTTAAAAAGTTATTTTCCTGTTTCAACCCTAATAACTGAAAACATATGGTGACTATAATATTAAATTCACAATGTCTCAACCAGAAGAGAATGTAACCTAGTATTAGACCCCGAGAATTCTAGTGCCCAGTGAAAATAAAATCAATAGAACCAGCTTCTAGTCACCTTACGATTAAAGACTAAAGAATAAGAAAAAGTAATACAATGTGTATAAGTGTACAAAATTTGATATATTTCTGTACTTAAGTAAACTAAAAACGTGACAGAATCAAGCAGCAGCTAAGTAGGATTTCTGTTACCCATTTAAAACGAATACGTCTATTAAATATGCAATTTTCTGAACAAAGCATTAAAACTGAATAACTTTGTTTGTTGAATTTCGTGAAAAGCTACTCAACAACTACCTGTGCTAGCCGTCTCTAATTTAGAAGTAATAGACTAGAGGGAACAGCCAACTCTTATTTACACTATTCTAATCGAATAGTGAAATTATAATAAGCCCTCATGGCTGAATGGGCGAGGATGTTTGATGATTAGATTCGAACCCGTGCCCTAGCTCACCAGGCTATCTAAGTAAAATTTTCTTAACGATTTTAATGAGTAAGTTAAAAAGCCAGAGAAACAAACAAACAAAAAAAAGGATAACTAATGGGGTATTCAACATGATTAAACATCTCAATAGTTTATTTATGAATTTCTTTTCCCCGCCAAAAACGTCAATTTCTTTACGAGACGGCTACACCAGTTGAAATACCAATAGATATACAATATTTCTTAAAATATACTGTTTTGGGCTACTTTAGCAATGACATTGATACACATTCCAGTTATTTAGTGTAGTTTCATCACTTTCGAAACTCTGTAAAATGGTTACCACGTTCTGTGACAATTCGTTAACTGGTTTTAAAGGACAAAAATTGTTCTGTTATATCCATAAGGGTTTGCAACTTGTAATTTTTGATTCTTTGAGATTCATTACACATTTGGTCTTAAATACGACATTACTTCTAATTATTATAGTTTTGGCATATTTATTGCAAACTTTTTATACTCTACCTGTACTCTAGTTATTGTACTCTTGCCAAAGGTATTGTACTTTTATTGTAGTTGAAATCAATGAATTATAATAATTCCCGACTCTTGCTCTGCATGTTGTGTATTGTGTTTTGATTTTATGTTATGTTTTGTACTAACGCTACATATATGTTGTATATTTACTAATACTTATATTAATGTACTTTCAGTTTAATACTGTACTCCCATATTTAGCCCACATTGTTTTAACTGTGTCTTCTAAAATTATTTTATTTTACTTTAATTTTGAAGTATACACTGTCATTTCTTATTTCAACATATTTTTGCATAGTTGTTTTTGCTGAGTGTAACTTCTGAAATCACTGTATTATATTTTACTTTTGTTACATTGACTATATACCATAGTTCCATTATATTGTACTTTACTTTCCATGCAAGTATTGTTGCTTTTAATTCTGCTAGCTTCTTTACATTCGATCCGTTAATTGTTACTTTTAAATTCGCAGTATTGTTACTTTACTTCTATTGTTATGTTTGTTACCTTTACTGTATTTATTTTACTTGTCTGTATCGTCGGTAAACGATACAACCTGGCAGGTAGAAGCATCAAACTTTGTGGTGAATTTAACATAAATGGACTATGCTTTTTTTCGTGGGCCGGGCGTGGCATCGTGATTAGCGTCTAGGGCTGTGATCAGAAGTCCCACGATATATTACTGAATACGCTACGTACTTTCATCTGTGAATGTGACGATCAGTCCTTTCTTTCGAGTAAACAGTTCAAAAGTAAGTAAGCCTATGCCTGAACTTTAAAATGTCTTGCTGATCGTTTAGCCCATGCGTTGTATGAGATGTCGGTCCGGTTGAAAATACTATCTTTTAATAAAACCATTTATATGTCGACTTTGTTTTCACAGCCTGTCGTCCCCTCGTAGTCCGCTAGGTGAAGTCCGCGCGAATTCGCCCAGTGAAATTGAGGATGACTTTGAAGTAGACGATTTTTATTTTGAAAACAACCCTGAAGTTTCTAAAGAAAACCTCATCCAAAATAATTTAAACTTGCGAGTACCTGCTAAAAATATCAATACTACTGCGATCAGGCCATCGCGAGGTAGCACTTCGGAAAATGAGGACGAGAGTATGAGCAGTGAACATGAAATTACGTCACTTCCTATGAAGCCTGAAAGGTACGTTTTGTTAGATCTTCTGAACAGATAAATAACGTTAAATCACGTCTATTAAACATGAAAAACTAAGTTGTTTTTTTATTCACTGAACCAACATCACGTTAACTCACCAAGTACTAAGCCTGAAAGGTATGTTTCTTAGATATATCAGACCAACAGAACATTAAATCACTCTCAACTAAGAATGAAAGGTAGGCTTCTTAGATCCTCTGGACCAACAGATCATTTCAAATCCCTCATATTAAACAAGAAAGGTAAGTTTCTTACGTACATTGGGCCAAGAGAACATTAGTTACTTTCATCTAAGTATCAAAGGCATGCTTCTTAGATTCACTAGACCAATTGAAAATATTAAATCCCCATACTAAACCTGAAAGGTAAGTGTCTTACATACATTGGGCCAACAGAACATTAAGTCACTTCCCAACTAAGGATGAAAGGTATGCTTCTAAGTATTAAAAGTTGTTGTGTAAACATAATTAAAGCACTCAACGTTTTTATAAGTACACAATTAAAAACCTTATTCTAAATGCTAAATGAAGGTATATATGGAAATGTTAAGAACAATCCTCTTAACAAATTTCACAATCTCATAATAACAAAAGTTAAAGAACATAAAAAGCATTTGGTTCCAAGTAGTTTTATAACTCCAAGGCTTCATGCTTACCGGAGGTTCATGAAGTAGAAGATTCTTATAAACCTACAGTGTCAAATACTCTTAGAGTATAGCTACATTTTTAGCACATAAGTTTTTCTTTTCTTAGTGACAAAAACATTTATACTATCAAAAATTCTATAGAATTTGTAGAAAAAAATAAGTAAGATAAATATAAATAATGGTGATATTGATATTGTATTATTATTCACAAAAGTACCAATTGATAAAGCTATTAATTTTTTTAAAGACAAATTACGAATGAATAATGTTTCGGTCACTGAAATCTTAGATATGATAAGTTTAACAAAAAATCGTGTGGAAAATTCTTTTTTTTTAAATTTAGTAATAAGATCTATAAACAAATCGAAGGTCTAACTATGGGTTCTCTATTGTCTCCCTTGTCGTGTGATCTATTCATGGATAGGTTTGAAACTGGTGGTTTACTGAACGCTAAACTTAAACCCGAAATATGGATAAGGTATATCGTGGTGTGGCGGCATGGTAAAGAAAACTTGATAGATTTTGCTAACCACTTGGATAGTTTAGAACCTGCTATTACATGTAATTATGAAATTGAAGAAAATAGTAGTTTACTATTTGTTTACGTATTAGTTAAGAAAAACAAAAACCAGTTAGAAATTATTATTTGTCATAAACCTTTTTCTCTTATCATGCCGCCACACCCAAGAATCATGTCGTACGAATTCACAAAAACTGTCAGCTTTTTATTCTTATATTTACAAGTCTTTAAAGCCATCTTCTAAACAAAAAAGACTTTAAAATGAACTGTTACTATTCAAATATGTAGCATTAGGTAGAGGTGTTTCACCTAATATTGTTGATAGAGCCGTGATAAAATTTAGTAAAACTACAAATGACGATTTAAAAAACTAAAATCAACATTTGATAAGATAGATAAAACGTAAATGTTATTTATACCATATGTCCAGGTTTGTCATGTCAAATATTTAGATAATTTAAAGCAAAACAGAAATTCTGTTTTGATTTATAGACCTTTGAATAAAATTAGTCAAGTATTAAATAAAACTAAAGATGTAACTAATGGAATGGAGAAAACGGGTATTTATAAAATTGAATGTGAATGTGGTTGTGTATTCATTGGTCAAACAAGAAGAAATTGAGAATAAATGAACACAAGAGAAATGTTAAAAATAAATTTGAAAATTCTGCACTAGCTGAGCATGCAAGTCCTACTGGTCATACCATTCAGTGGGAAAAACTATTATATATGGTTTGCACTGATTTTGATTACACACTTCTGAGTATGACGTGATTGGGCTCCGAAACGTGTATAGTGTCTGTTTTGACACTGATTTTGATTATACACTTCTGAGGATGACTTGTGTGGACGCAGAAACACGTAGAGTGTCTGTTTTGAGACCGTTGAGGATCTCAGAATAAAGTTTTTAATTGTGTGCTTAAAAACGTAGATCGTTTGAGTGTTTAAAGGCAGTTTCTTAGATTCACTGAACCAACAGAGCATACTAAATCCCTCATACCAAACCTTGAAGTTGTGTTTCTTACATACATTGAGCAAACAGATCATAAAATCACCCCAAATAAGAATGAAAAGTATGTTTTTTACATACATCGGACCAACAGAGCATTAAATCACTTTACTCAGCATGAAAGGTGTTTATTTAAATCCTCTGTTACCTACATAGCAATAAATAACTTTATTAAACATGAAAAGTTAAGTTTTTGTTTATATACTTTGGGCTGAAAATCGTTACAAAACTGATAGTTTATACATTTTTATAGTTAAATCATTTGAAAAAAAAACCTTTGTTTTATATACATAAAAAATAGGAGAAAACCTATTGATGTTGAAACTTGTTTAATAAGAAAAAGATATGATTTTCGATTTTATTTAATTACCTAATTTAAAAGGACGGGTAATGAAAAGAAAATACAATCTCAGTAAGATAGGCTTAGTGAGATTTAGTGATCTAGATGTATGATGATATCAGTAACATTTCTTTCGTAATTCTTAATTCTTTCACCAGGCGGCTTTACAAAAGACGACAACCGAAAGATAACAGTTATTGTGAAAAATCACTGAAATCAACTCAAGAGTCAATTCGAGAGAAAACGTTTATACATAACAATCTAGACCAAGAACGAAAGGTAAGTAGATCGATTACTTGTTAATGAAGTTCGTATAAAAATAAAATAAAATATTCTGGAAATAATTTTCAAGTTTTTAATTTTATTTTATATGTGGCGCTTTTTACAAATATTTCAATTATCTTTAAAATATTTTTATATATTTTCAGCATTTAAAAATTTACTGTAATACGAATTTCTTTACAAAATTTAGTGAAAATTAAAAATGCTCGTATAAATGACTATAAATAAAAAGGATGGAAAAGTGAAAAAAAATCTTATAAATCGATACCCCTATTGATTTTTATAAGTGCATTTTGTATTGTTTTACTGCATCAAAAATAAGGACTAGGTTTAGCTTTATTTAGTGTTATATATCATTGTTAAATATTACTTAATTAAATTTCGCACTATTGTTTAAAATAATTTTAAAAATCTGATTCTACACATTATATTTGTTCGTTAAAACTTCTTTCTATTATTAATTTACAACGAAATTAAATAGTACCTTTAGTAAGTTTTATGAGTTAGAGATTTGTGTTAATAATCTTTATCTTTAGCTCTATAACTGATTTATAATGAATTAGCCGCTGCACCATGCACAGCACATTGACCCTTTGCTTCTGGTTCAGGAGCTACAGGATGTCCCGAAAACAATGCACCTATTTTATTAATTATTAAAGTTTCCACGTTGATTCGAGTTATCCTTTATTTGTTTACAGTGTTCTGTTCATCTTTTAAATTAGTTTCTAAATAATAGGCTACTCTTAAAAAGATCGCTAAAATACGTAGTTTACTAATTTCTGTGCAATGCTATTTTGAAAATAGTGCAATGTTTTATGGGTCACTCTGTAGTTATTTTAGTGTTATTTAACTGAGAAAACGCTGTCAATATATTAATGCTGCTTGCACTGCTATTCCTAACCTTAAGATATGCTCTAGCTAACTTTATATTTCTGCTCAATCCGCTTCTGCATTTTTTTACGCTTTTACAGTAAAAATATATATTTACTGCAATAAAATTTCAACCAACAGCCGTAAAATATTAAATTACAATGACTTTCAGATTAACCGAGATTATTTGTTCTGACCAGGTTTTTATAAACACCACCTAACGGTTCAAATTTAAAGTTCTAACAACAGGCCGGGTTCACCTGGTAGGGGCCCGGCATGGCCAGGTGGTTAAGGCATTCGACTCGCAATCTCAGGGTCGCGGGTTCGAATCCCCGTCACACCAAACATGCTCAACCTTTCAGCCGTGTGGCCGTTATAATGTGACGGTCAATCTCACTATTCGTTGGTAAAATAGTAGCCCAAGAGTTGGCGGTGGGTGGTGA